CTAGGCACACTGAACATTCATTGAATACACTTTAAATATTTTTGACTGATCAACAAGGGACAAATTTAGCTTTTCTTTGCTTTGGCCACCAAACAAGCTAAAAGCTTTATTCTTTTGCACTCATATCCTATCCATTCTGAAAGTATTTCTGAAACATCTGTGCAAAGATTACTCATACAATGAGTATGAATAGTTCAAGTGCAGAAAGACATACAGTTTTCATGCTTTTTGAAATAAGGCAGATTTCTGAATTTACCCTCCCCCAACTCGGGATCTCTGCTCTTTGCTGTAACTCCTGTTTTTCCATAAGCAAATGACTTTGGGGAGAGATGTTTCTGTGCTAACCTCAAAAGAGCACTTCCTCCTATGTAGTCATCTTAACACAATTTGAACGTCCTGACACGCCTCCCAAAACCCTGTTCAAGTTCTTTTTACCAAGTGGCTAGATTTTCCTGCTTGCCCCAACACCTTTCCTAGCTTCCCCGAAGTCAGTTTAGCCACAAAGTCAGCTCAGCCTTCCTCAGAGATGTTGTAATTTTGGGTATCTGCCCAAGAACCTGCAGACTGTTCCACATATGGCTCTCACAAAACCTGGCGCTTCATGGATTAGCCATAATGTAAGGTTAGCTGTTTAAGAAATAGGAAGGCTTTGATCTTGGAGTAGAAATGCAGAGATTAAAAGGCTACTTAGAAAACTAAAGGAAGATTGATAACATGGAAAACTTCGGCAAAGGAGCTGCTTTAAATTAACTCTTTGAAGCCTGAATCTCTCCCTCCCTCCCTCCCTCCCTCTCAGTGCACACATAAGTATCCATTTGGCTGTCAATGTGGAAAAATAACTGATGTCAGATGATGCACTCTGGATATTATGCCAAGTTCCAGTGACAAATCACACAACTATTGAAATGGACGATTAGCGAGAGGGTAAGTGCTCGGGATGGGCTATATTGCTTCTCTTGGAGGACGAGAGGTGCCAATTGTGCGTGTGATTCATAGTGAGGGCTTTGTGAAGCTGATGTAGGTGTGCCACTGGAATGCAATGAGGTGTGGGCATGTCCTGCCTTTCAGCCCTGTCCAGAAGGGTAGGAGATAACCAGCACTATCATATTTGTTCACAGGGGAAGTTGTGGTGTTTTGGAATTTAGCCTGGATTTGGTCCACAGAAGACGAACGCACCAAAAAAGTCTCTAAACATCCTTGAGCTGGACTAACAGGAGCTGTCGCTGTTTGGCAGTTAACTGATGATTTATATATCATATTCAGTGAGCATAAAAATAATATTTTGGACAGAGTTGCACATCTGAAGCCAGAAGTGCAAAGTGGGGAGGAAATTTTAAAGCCCCTAGTGAAAATCTCAAAAAAATACTCGGGTCAGTGTCAGAATAGAAGTGATCATAGGGTTTAGTCTCTAGTCTGAATAACTGGACTCAGGGGGAAAAAAAAAATAATCAAAATTTTAACAAAGACTTTTGGGGAGCTTTTCTGTTGTTTGCAGCAATTGCAGTTTGGAGAAACACTCCTGCATGCTCGTCCTTCTAAAGCTGGCCCAAACCTGTTCTTCTTAGTTAAGTGCAGTGCTCAATTAGAAAGTGATATTATGTGTAATGTCTTGATATTATGTTTAATGTCTTGAATAAACTAGAAATTAATGACTTAATCACTGCAGAACATCTAATACTGTCTTTTGAGCAATTTGGAGGAAATAATAAAAATTAAAATTTAATTTGACATGTTGGAGAAATGGTCTGAAAGTAACTAGGTAAACTTTCCTAGTGTCAATTTTAAAACCCTACGGTTATGAAGGAGAACTCAAGTGAAAGTAGGAATAAGCAGGAGTCTTATCTCCTGCTGGTTTGTGTATGTGACTTTTAACTTGTTGGCTGTCAGCAATCAAATTCCTAAGCATCAACTTTTGTTTTCTGCTATGTATCCTGGGAGTTTCCCTCAAGAGAAGTGGGCTCCAAGAAGTGACGACAATATTTCTCCTTTGAGCACTTCTATGGCATAACATGGAGCAGGGGGGAATGAGCTACTGCTAAATGAGCTGGATCCTGATATATGCAAATGGCAAAAATCCTTTTTCAAAGAAACTGCTGTAGAGTGAATGAATGGAAGAGTCTACATAACAAATTGATTCCCAAGCCGATTAAAAATAGAGACGGTGTATGAGTTGCTTATCTCTTCTGTTGTGGAGGTTAGTGAATTAAGATGAATAATAAAACTACAGTTTTCAGGAGTGTGTCCGACTGGAATCAAGCACATAATAGTGAAGAATTTATGTGAACAGCAGACTCTGAACAGGAAGAGTAACTGTGAGGAACACAAAAGAAGCTTATCAGATTTTCCTCTGTAAATTTGCTTGTGTATTTTTAGCCAACACAGGTTTGCTGTTCTGTAATACATATGAATTTTCTGGGTAGTTTGCAGTATTTCTCTTCAGGTGAGAAGTGGATTTGATCACTGCTTCTCTGCATGTGAAATACAAGAACTGAAATTCCGGCCCCAATAACTCAGTGAAGTCAGTGTGTTGCCTGAAGAGAATGAGTGACTTGATCAGCATCATGCTTGAGGTCTGTTAGAGGGCTGGAGTTAGAACCTGTAGTCTGTTTCCCAGTCCCATGTAAATGAAAGTGAGGGACATTATAAATTTGGCCTGTCTATCATTGTTATCTTTGAAAAGAATTACTGCCTAAATTTCATAAATCTTTCCAGCTGCCACATACCGGTCTTTTTGATTCTGGATTCAGTTAGAGATGACTACTAAATTCCTGTACTTACAGTTCTTTGACAAAACGGGGAGAGGAGAAAAATAACGAGGACAAACTTTCTGGCTGCTGGCACATTTACAGACTCTGTTCACTTCATGCCTTCTGTCAGTTCCCTTGGCAAAGGGACTATTTCCCTCCTCCTTTCCCATGTGGTTTTATGCCATAGCTGGTCAGAGTGAATAAAGCGCAATGGAGAAGAGGAGAAATATACAAATAGCTTTCTACTAGGCTATCACAAAGAAATATTTTTCCTCTGCCATTTGCAAGACAGAAACTTTGTGAAATGGACAAAATTTTACTACTAGCAATTCTAAAAAGTCATAGTCATGTTTACTGTTCTCACTACACGCAACTGTCACAGGGTGTCTGAATTCTTTATGGTTATGAGCACATTAAATGATAATACATGGAAAAAATATGGACACATTTATTTTTTGGAAGTAATTGACCAAAAAAGAATCTCTTGTGAACAAACTCCAGCACTGTACAACAGACAGGAGAGAAGCGAGCCAGAACTAAGGAACACGAGAAACAGAAATTC